ATTGTAGGCACAAAAGATGTAACCGAGCTTGTTAACTTTCTCTGTCAACGCACACAGAATCCATTACACGGTGTAAAAGAAAGCGTTTTGCTTTCTTACTTTTCAAACAACTAAAAAGGTACGTAAAAATACTGCCGCAAAACAACGAGATGGTTTAGAACTGTAGGACTTGTAAAATAAGTCTTGTAAAACATGATTAAATTGCTACTGTGAATAAATATGTGAAGTGTAAAAAATCGGATAGTTTTCAATATAAGTATATTCAAAGACTAGATAGGTGTTAAAATAAAGTAAAAAGTATCAAGCTTTTCAAACTACCACTTAGGAAAAGTAGCCAAAACAAAGCTTTTACAGATACTTAATGCTTGCTGGGCAACAAGGAATGTTCCACAGATCTGGAGAGAGGTAATTATGATACCCCTCATAAAGCCTGGGAAAGACAGTTCTAATGCCTCCAACTACAGACCGATCAGCCTCACAAGTTGTCTCTGTAAAACAATGAAGCGCATCACCAACCTCAGACTACAGTGGTACATTGAAAGTGAAAACATCATTACACCACAGCAGGCGGGCTTTAGAAAGTTCTACTGTACTGAAGACCAGACAACATACCTCTCCCAAGAAATAGAGGATGCTTTTCAAGATAAGAAACTGATACTCGCGGCATGGATAGATTTAAGGAAAGCTTTTGATAAGGTTTGGAAGGAGGGGCTTTTGAAGAAATTGAGAAACTAAAATAAATGGAAAATTGTACAATTGGATTAAAGCATATCTACATAACAGAAAAGCCCGGGTACAGGTAGATGTTTTTAAAAGTAAAAAAGTTCTACTGCGACAAGGCGTCCCTCAAGGTGGTGTCCTGTCACTCCCACTTTTCCTTTTATTCATCAACGATCTGATTGCTGAGATGCCAAATGGAATCAAAATGGCAATGCATGCCGACGACCTGGTACTGTGGTGCACCAATGAACATGCAACGATAGCCACAAAAACACTACAGCGGGCTACAAATGCACTTGAGGCATGGGCCAATAGATGGTGTGTCAGCATCAACACAGACAAATGTAGCACCACACTATTCACCCTCTCCCCAAAGCAAAAAGCCGGTACCATCAAAATAAACGGAATACTCCTGAGAGATGATAAAGAGCCCACATACCTAGGAGTCACATTTGATGACAGGTTGACATGGAGAAAACATATCAACAAGGCAGCAACCAAAGCCAAGAGGAAGACAGCAATACTAAGAAAACTAAGTGGAACCACATGGGGAGCCGATATGAAAATACTCAATCTATATATATAAAATCAATGTTTGAGTGTTTGTTTGCCCCCTATAGACTCGGAAACTACTGAACCGATTTAGCTGAAATTTTCAGGATATGTTTGTTTTTATACAGGATGTTGAACCATCATGGTTTGAAATTCAACCTGTCACTGTTAGAGATAGGTGACCACAATTTAAGCCATAATATTCGAAACTAATATTTATAATTTTAGTGATTTCTAATTATAGCCACGTTAGTAATTGCGCATGCGCCGTGCAGCCAACACCTCCTCTAATACATAGAGTAGGTCGTGGTACAGCAAACACGACTATATTAGACACGATTTCTATTTTCTGTTTTTTTTTTCAAGCATCCTTCGATGAGTTGAAAAGTAGCCGATGGATTGGTAGGGAAAAAGAGGGAGAAGGGCATCAGGGACTATATCGACGTCTGCGCAGACATTGACTGCGACATTAACCGTGTTAGACACGTGCGATTTCTTTTGTTGTGCCGTTTCAGTAATATATTTGGATTATCTGTCTATGAGAAAACATTTGCCTGCTGTTTTGAGTTGTGTTATAATCAGGACACTGCAGTAGGGACACACATCTAAAATAGTTATGTTCTCTTTTCGTTATTTCGATCGAGTGGTTGCTTGGTCGAATGGTTAGAACACTCGGCTCTTGAGTGGGAGACCAGGGTTCGAATCCGCAGTTTTTTTTTGTGTTTTTTTTTACTTAGGGCTAAAATAAAATCCTCACCTGCACTGTCGTTGCCCTTTATGATATATATTTACACAAAAAAAAAAACAAGGACAGGTTTGTGGGTAAACCAGTTGATAATTAAATTTGACCATTTCACATACTTATGATTTCATTTTAAACTTTTCGATTGCATGGTTACGCTGAAATTTCATAGCTTTCCATTTATTTTCATTTAGATTTAATTATTTCATCTGCGTTGGAATTTTAAGCTGTGCTGTTTACCATAGCGTTCATTTCCTAATTCTGGTGTATTTTTCCTGTTTTAATTGCTTTTCAATTGGTTTTTCCCCCTCTTAACTACTTCGTTGAGGGAAAGAGTAGTCGGTGAATTTGGGTGGGGGGGGGGGCAAACTGATTACTGAGAGAGCTTCAAGTCACAGTAACTGCTTTACCCACTCAAAGTAGCAGCAGCAGTAGTAGTTGTGATTGGGCGGTTACACCGTAGTGCTCTCATGTGAAGACCGCCGTGGCGACAGCACTAGCCATGCGGCGCCAAATCTTCTGGCTCACGAATCCCTGTCTGCACCGATGGTGAAACAGATAGCAGTGACATTATTTTAGCTACCGTGGTATTGGTCGTGGTAGTAGTTGTACTGGTACTTGAAGGATAATGCGGTAAATATTACATTAGCCCCATTCACTACCTTAATAGGTAGCTGCTCCCAATTTAGTCCGGATGGACAGGGATGTCAATGTCAGTTACAACAAAAAGAATATCGCCAGGTGATGATTTTTCAATCCTTCGAAGAGGGAGAGAGCAGTAGTTGGTGGAAGAGGGGAGGGGAGAGGGTAATGACTGAAATTTAAGAGAACTTGAAGAGCTTTACACATGATTTTTAAGTTCTCATTACTTACTTAAATTGTTTATATTTTACTAACGCTACCTTCACTATTCTAATTTTTGTACGAGTTACTTTGTTTTTTACAAGTACATTAGTAGCTTTATTTACGTCTCCTATAAAAATACAAACAGCTTTAGCATGTGATAACCAAATAACCACTTTTGTTACTGTGTTAATAGCACCATTTAAACGACCACTAATATAAAGACACAATTATATGGTGCGTGTTCTAAAGTTGGAAAACCAGACTATCTCTATATAAATGTGCAGAGAATGATTGCGACATTAACTATATTAGACAACTGCGATTTCCATTGTCTTTCTTTTCCAAAAACCTTTGATGAGGGAGAGGGTAGTAGGTGGATTTAGTTGTGGGGAGGGGTGGGGGGGGGGAAATCAAAGACAATCTCTATATCTGAGCAGACAATGATTGTATTAGACACTTGCGATTTCTATTTTCTTTCATTTCTATTTAGCCAAACTATGCCACAGCAACGCGTGGCCGGGAACAGCTAGTAAAGTATACAAGCAGAGCATACTTCCACACTTGGAATATGGGTCAACTGCATGGTGTTCAGCATCTAGTACCACATTAAAGGAGTTAGACAATGTGCAAAATCAAGCTCTCAGAGTCATCACAGGAGGGATGAAATCAACCCCCATATTAGAAAGCTGGGAAAACACAGGCACTGAGAGAACGCAGAGATACAAAGTTGCAAATACAAGCTGAAAAGTTGCTCAGTATGCCAGATCACCCGATGGAAAATAGATTTAAGCACCTAGCCTTGGGACGGTTAAAAAGAAGCAGCTTTATACACCAAGCAAAAAGAATATGTAGACAAACTCCTGACCTTCCAGAAATTGGTTGCTCACTTAAATGTATTCCGAAACAAACCCTATGGAGAGAAAAATGTAAACTAAAGGTACAAATCCAGACAAATGTGAAAGGGATATTTGACAAGAAGGAGCAAGATAGTATACAACGCAGAATGGCCACCCTCAGTTATATTGATGAAGAATACCCACAAGAACAATGGGTCAGAGTCTATACAGATGGATCCGCAGAAGGTGCAGTTAGAAATGGTGGCGCTGGAGTGTACATTGAATTCCCAGATGGTACTAGGGATACGTCCAGCGTACCAACCTGGAAGTACTGCCATAACTACGATGCAGAAACCCAGGCTATCAAGATAGCTCAGAGAAACTGCTAAATACCAACCTTAGCTTAAAGTATGTGGTAATGCTGACAGATGCTAAATCAGTACTTGAAGCAATCCAGTCTAGGAAACTACCAGAATTGCAAACACTGCTGACACAATTCAGCGTTCAGCGAAGAGTCGTAATGCAGTGGATACCGTCTCATTGTGGAGTGCCTGGAAATGAGAAAGCTGATCAACTGGCAGGAGAAGGTGCGACAGAAGAGCAGCCGGATGTACCAGTCACATACCACCAAAAGAAAAGAATCATTAAATCGATCAGGAAACCACCAGCCCCAGCACAAGACGACTATTTTATTATGGACAGACAAGAACAAGTCATTATCCTCTGCCTCAGAACAGGGCACAACCGATTGCGTAACCACATGTACACAGAATTCAAGATAGGTGTATCAGCCATGTGCACCTGTGGAAATGTGCCCCAGACAGCAGAGCATGTACTCCAGGACTGCACCGATTTTGACACATTAAGGCAAACATTTTGGCCAGAAAGAACAACAGTGGAACGTAAACTCTGTGGACCCCTGAATGAACTAACAACGACAGTGAAATTTATACAAGGGACAAAACTGCTGATGTAGACAACTTTTTTCAGGCGAACGAAAGAAGAAGAAGAAGATATAAATATAATATAATATAATATATATAATATATATAATATAAATATAATATATATAATATAATATATAATATAATATAATAATATAATATAATATATATAATATATCATATATATATAATAATATGATTTATATTTTAATAGTAGTATAACTTTAACTTCGTCCTTCTTAGGACATAATACAACATAATATATTATAATATAGTATAACATACAATATTTTAATGTTATATTTTTCAGTGAGTCTTATCAGAAGTGGCTTTCGCTGAAACTTTTTCAAAAATACCGAAATGCAAAAGAAACCGTCAGAGAATACCACTATTGTTAACATGAGAGCCAAAGATGGTTTAACTTCTGGAATTCATCAGAGCCTGAAGAATCCTGCAGGGAAAATCAGGAGTAGCCCACCCTATGTGACATCTGACAACATATGGCATGGGAGACTAGGAAACCAAATGTTCAAGTATGCTTCGATTCTAGGCATAAGCAGAAAACAGGGGAGGACGATGTTTATTGAACGGGGTACCGACCTGGAGAAGACGTTCAAGATCAATTACATTTACACAAATGAAAGCATCGAAAAGTCAGTAAAACGATTTTGTATTTACCGTAAATCCTTGGTAACACAAATTCAAGTGTACTAATAAACTTTATAGTTCAGGTTGTGGTTAGTATGTTCCTGCTGGGACTAAATTTCACTTTATGCTAACCGAGTGTTCGTCCCAAGAGATTTCATGTGAAAGAGTTTTCCCGTATTTTTTAACAAAGCTGAGATAGAGGTGGACAATAGTAAGATATTTCTTACGTGTTTCGTCTTTTTATATTTCTTTATCATGTCACAGTTACTCGTTTTGTCATGTGTTTCTTTATGATGTCATCGCTAGTTATCTAAATTGTTCCTTTACAATATCCTAGTTAGTCCGTTTGTCATGTAATTCTTTATGTTGTCATAGTTATTAGTCTTGTTGTTGGATTTCTCTATAATGTCAAAGTTACTCGATTTGTCATGTGTTTCTTTATGATGTCGTAACTAGTCGTCTTATGTGTTTCTTCATGATATCATAGCTAGTCGTCTTATGTGTGTGTGTGTGTGTGTTTTTTTTTTTTTATGATGTCTTAGTTACTCCTCTCGTCATGTGTGTGTGTTTTTTTTTTAAATGGTTCCATAGTGATTCGTCCTGTGTTACTTTATGATGTCATAGTTAGTCGTCTTGTCATGTGATTCTTTATGAAGTCATAGTTACTTGTCATTTCGTGTGCTTCTTTATGATGTCATAGTTAATCTTCTTGTGTGTTTCTTTAATCTAAGATACAAATAAATTTAAGAGGTTCTGTTAACAATTTGGGCTCAAAGATGAATAATAGAGGAATTATGGATAGTATGTCCCTGCTGGGACCAAACATTAGTTGATGCTGATAACCGATTGTTCTTCGTAGGCGATTTCATGTTAAGTTTTCCTGCATTTTGACAATCCTTACATATAGGTTGACTATAGCTAGAAATTTCTTTTTCGTGTTTCGTCTTTTTCCTAGTTACTCATCTTATCGTGTTTTTTATGATGTCATAGTTAGTTGTCTGATGAGTTTCTTTATAATTGCATAGTTAATCGTCTTGTCATGTGTTTCTTTATGATGTCATAGTTAGTCGTTTTATGTGTTTCTTTATGATGACATAGTTAGTCGTTTTATGTATTTCTTTATGATGTCGTAGTTAGTCATTTTGTCATGTGTTTCTTTGTGATGTCATAGTTATCTTTAGTAGTGTATTTCTTTATGATAGCATAGTTACTCGTCTAGTCATTCTTTTCTTTATGATGTCACAGTTGTCTTGTCATGTGTTTCTTTATGAAGTCACAGTTAGTTGTCTCACTATGTCTTTCTTTATGATGCCAAAGTTACTCTTGTCATGTGTTTCTTCATGGTGTCATAGTTAGTCATCTTGTCATGTGTTTCTTTGTGATGTCGTGTCTACTCGTCTTGGCATGCCTTTCTCGTGGCAGCCAGTCATTTCGTCTTATCATATGTTTGCTATGTGACCATAACCTGCTTACAACTGATGTGTGAAAAACGATGTTTAGAACGGCGAAATGTAACATTGGCCTGCATTGTAAATGCGTGACCCGTTAAAAAAAAGTGGTGTTGGATATTTCGTTTATTATAGTGGCTTTCTTAGTTACATGATAGTCTGACATCTCTACATCCGCATCCTCATCCCTTTACATAGCTTGTCAATAGATCACCAGCTTCTTCTGTCTAATCAGCTCTCTCCAACTTCAACAGTCAGATGCAACTGACTTCATGAGTCCATGCCTAAAACCTGTTCAGTCATATCTTTTATCTTTGTTTTTCTTCTAACCCTACATGGAGCAAAAGCCCTCAACCAACTCAGCCCAAGTGGTTCTGTCCTTCGCCATCGCATGCAACTCTTCCCATGTCCTCTCCGTCTTTTCAGCTTAACTCTCCGGTTTCCTTCTCCGTGTGCTTCTTGGTCTTTCTTTATCTTTATGTCCCTGTGGGTTCCAGTTCAAAGTCATCCTAGTAATACTGTTCTCGTTTTCTCAGCGCGTGTCCTATCCAATGTCAGTGTAATTTTTTCATCTCTTGGTCCACTTGTTCTGGTTTAGTTCTCTACCAAACTTGACATTAGTGATTCTATCATACGATTTAATTGGGTCTATTGTGCGCAGCAACCAGTTAAGGAAAGTTTGTAATTTATTAGTAACTGCCTTAGTTGTTCTCCTGTTTCAGCTCCATAGAACAAAACTGATTTGAGAGTGTTAAAATTCTTAAGTTTAGTATTAGTTGTAATTTCTTTATACCTCCCTAAATTTTCCAGTGCTATGAATGCTCCTCTTGCCTTTTGTATTGGTACCTTAATATCTCTATCAGTTCCCCGATCTTTATCTACATTACTATCCAAATACGCCTGTGTGTCACCGGGGACCTCACGGGAAGCAAAGAATAGTGACACTGCACCCTACCAGGCATGTCGTAAGAGGCTACTAAGGGTAGGGTTGGGTTTGAGGTTGGCTACCTCATCCTGTAAAAACCATAGCCACAAAAACCAACCAACCATGGATAAGTCAAAAAGAGAAGCAAATAAATTCCAGCCAACCAAGAAGAAGTATGACACGGTGTGGAGAAAGCCGTAAGGAGTCCGGATCGTTGACGTACCTCCTTCTCTCAGCTAGGAAAACCTCCAGAATTGGCACCTGGAATGTTAGAACTTTCTATGATATAGGGAGAACAATGGAAGTAGCAAAGGAAATGAAACATTATAGAATTAGTATTTTAGGTTTATGTGAAACTAGATGGACTGGGACAGGGAAAAGTATTCTTAATTCAGGAGAAACTATTTTGTTCTCAGGACACACAGGGAAAAATTCGCCGCACAGTGAAGGAGTTGCACTGATGCTATCAAAAGAAGCAGGCAGGGCACTAATAGAATGGGAAGCTGTGAGTCCCAGAAAAATAAGAGCATCTTTTAGAACAGTAAAACAGAAGGTAAACATGTCGGTAATACAGTGTTATGCACCAACAAATGATTAGGATGCATCTGTTAAGGAAGAATTTTATATGCAGCTTCAAAATATTATAAATGGAAAGGGCAACTTGTTCACTTGAATGCTAAGATAGAATCAACAACACAGGTTTTTGTGGTCAGAAGTAACCAGTATGGAGAATTGTTCATTGGTGGAGGTAACCAGTAGTTATTTTTCCCCATAAAAGAATACACAAGGCAACATGGGAATCACCAGACCATAAGACAACTAATCAAATTGACCACAGATGTATTAACAAAAAGTTTAGATCATCCCTTTACGATGTTAGGGCTTTCAGAGGTGCCGATGTATTTACTGACCATTTCCTGGTGATAAGTAAAATCCAGTTGAAACTAAAAAGATATATAACATCTTATAATCATAGAAACCAATATAATGTAGACTTTCTCAGAGATGAAGAAATTAAGGAACAGTTCTCAGTTACGGTCTCTAATAAGTACCAGGTGTTGCAGCAGTTAGCTGAAGATGTCAACACAGAAGTCTGCTGGGATCAGATCAAAGGATCTGGAATGAATCTTGCGTAGAAGTTCTTGGCAAGAAAGAAAGAAAACATAAAGTATGGATAACACCAGACACCATTAAACTGATTGAAGATAGGAAAAGTAAAAAGGCAGAATTAAACAATAGCAAAACTAGAGCTGCTAAAGCTAGAGCTCAGGAGAATTACACAGAAGCCAACAAGGAAGTTAGGAGGCATATAAGGGCAGATAAAGTGAAATATCTAAATGATCTAGCACAAGAAGCGGAGACAGCAGCAGCAAAGGAAACTTTAGAGAACTTTACATTAACACAAGAAAAATAGTAGGTAAATATAGTCAGCCAACTGGATCAATCAAAAATAGTCAAGGAAAAGTACTTACTAACACTAAAGATCAAATGGACAGATGGGTTGAATATTTTGAAATGCTTCTAAATAGACCAGGCCCAGAGGTTCCCCCAGAAATCCAGCCTTTAGAAATGGAACTGGATATCAACTGTGAGATACCATCCAAAGAGGAAATTAGAAAAGCTATAAATCTTCTCAAGGAAGGAAAGGCGTCAGGCCCAGACGGTATCACAGCTGAAGCCATCAGGACCAACATAAACACATCAACAGAATTGCTACATAGATTATTCAGTAAAGTCTGGGAGACCGAAGAAATACCAGCAGACTGGAGAGAATGATATCTTGTGAAAATGCAAAAAAAGGTGATCTACAGGAGTGTGAAAACTATAGAGGAAATATGTTGCTGTCAGTTCCTGGAAAAATATTAAGTAGAATTATTCTGGAAAGATTAAAAGATGCTATTGATAAAATGCTAAGAGATGAGCAGGCAGGTTTTCGGTCAAACAGATCCTGTACTGATCAGATAGCCACATTACGTATTTTAATAGAGCAAAGCATTGAACTGAACTCACCACTTTACATTGGATTTATAGACTATGAAAAAGCATTTGACAGCATTGATAGAGAATCTCTCTGGAAATTGATGAGGCACTATGGAATTCCACATAAAATTATCAACTTAGTAAAGGCAACATATAAAGACATGAAATGTCGAGTTCTTCCTGAGGGAAAGCTAACAGATGCATTTGAAATAAAAACAGGTGTGCGATAGGGATGTCTTTTGTCGCCTCTCTTATTTTTACTGGCTATAGACTGGACTATGAAAACAGTAACTGCTAACACCAAGAATGGAATTCAGTGGACCCCTACAAAACAGCTTGATGATCTGGACTTCGCTGATGATATTGCTCTTCTGTCCCATTCACGGAATCAGATAAAAGATAAATTAAATATACTTAATGCGAGATCACAGCAGCTTGGTCTGAAAATCCATAAAGGAAAGACAAAGATAATGAGAATAAATCAGGCAAATAGTACTGTGGTTTCTCTTAATGGCACTCCACTCCAAGACGTGGAGTCGTACACCTATTTAGGCAGTAATGTAGATAAAGATGGAGGAACTGATAGATATATTAAAATAAGAATACAAAAGGCAAGAGGGGCTTCCATAGCACTAGGGAATTTGTGGAGGTCAAAAGAAATTAAAAGAAATACTAAACTAAAAAATTTTAATTATAATGTCAAATCAGTACTATTGTATGGGGCGGAAACATGGAGAACAACCAAGGCAATTACTAATAAATTATAGACATTCATTAACTGGTGCCTGCGCAGAATAGAGGAGATAAAATGGTATGATAGAATAACTAATGAAGAACTTTGCGAGAGAACTAAACAGGCTCCAGTGGATCAGGAGGTGAGGAAAAGACGCTGGCGTTGGATAGGGCACACACTGAGAAAACAGGAGAACAGCATAACTAGAATGTCTTTGCATTGGAACCCACAGGGGCATAGGAATAAAGGAAGGCCAGAAACCACATGGAGAAGAGAGCTGGAGAATGAGGTTAGAAAGATTGGGAGGACATGGGGAGAGCTCCATGCAATGGCGAAGGATAGAACGACTTGGCGTGAGTTGGGTGAGGGCCTATGCTCCATTGGAGGATAGAAAGGCAGAAGAAGAAGAATATCCAAATGATGAAAGACTTCACGCCTTGGAGTAGGATACCATTAGTTAAAACCACATTACCATTTGGCTGATTTATTTTAATGATCATCTTTGTCTTTCCCTTATGGATTTTCAAACCTACCTGTTGTGATCTCACATCAAGTATATTTTATTTTTCTTGTATCTGATTCCGTGAGTTGGGCAGAAGAGAAATATCATCAGCGAAGCCTAGATAACCAAGCAGTTTTGTAGAGGTCCAATGAATTATGTTCCTGGTATTAGCAGTTGCTGTCTTTATAATCCATTCTATTACCAGTAAAAATATGAGAGGCGACAAATGACATCCCTGTCGCACAACTTTTTTTTTTAATTTAAATATATATGTTAGCTTTCACTTATTAAGAACTGGACATTTCATGTCTTTATATGTTGCCTACCCTAAGTTAATAATTTTCTGTGGAAAACACTGTACCCTATTAATTTCGAGATAATTTCCGATTTAATGCTGTGAAAAGCTTTTTTTTTTTTTTTAATAGTCTATAAATCATTATTTATTCAGCTGATTTATTCAGCTTAATGCTTTGGGCTATTATTATACGTAAAGTGGCTATCTGATCAGTACAGGATCTGTATAGCCAAAAACCTGCCTGTTAATCTCTTAGCGTTTTATTAATAGCATCTTTTAGTCTTTCCGAAATAAACGTACTTAATATTTTTTTTCTGAAGTGACAGCAACATAATTCCTCTACAGTTTTCCTCTTCTGTAGATCATCTTATGGGGCAGTTTCACAAGACATCCTTCTCTCCAGTTCAGCTGGTATTTCTTCGGTCTCCATCATCAATTAGCAAGTCCTTTACAGAAGGTCGCTCCCTTCACGGCACGCTTCAAAGTATCTCTTTCCCTAGCCAGCTCTTCAGCCCCCTGTGCATTCAATGCTTATGCATCTTTAATGTCTTGTGTCCATCTTGGCGGAGGTCGACCCTTGCCTCGATTTCCACAAACTGCAGCCGCCCACCCCCACTCCCACACCCCTACCCCAATCACTGTCTTTTTCAAGCCATCATTACCTTAATGTGGCCAAAGCTGTGCCATAGGTTCTTCATGCTGTTTAATCTCTGCATTGCTAACGCAAGTCTTCTTTTGACTTCTTTCGAGCAGTCTCCACCTGTGTTCACTATAAAAGTCCCAAGTATTCGAAATCTGTTACATTTTCAATTTCTTCATTTTCGATTGTATTATGTGGTTGGTGTGCTGTATGTAATGATTATATAATTATTTTTTTTCAAATTCAGAAAAAGATTCATTTTTTATTTGTGCTTTTTGACGGCCAGAAATAATTATTTCTAAACCTTTTACACTATTGGAAAAAAGGACTGTGTCGTTTGCATATCTGAGCTCTGGGATAGGATTACTACCAATTTTGAGTGAATCAAAGCTCTCACATGCCTCATTGCTAATTGCGTTTCTCATAACGTTTTTAATACTTATGTTGAAAATGGGCTCCCTGTCTGCACTTCAGACGACTCTGATGTTTCATCAGCTACTCTGACTGCTGCTTTTTGTTCATGATAGAGACTCCCTTAAGTGCACCAGATGTTTTGGAAATCCTATGCCTCTCATTATATGCCACAGTTTATCGTGTTGAACACAGTCAAATGCCTTGCTGTAGTCTGTGAAACAATTGTACGGATTTATCCTGTATTCTCTACACTTTTCTAGGAAGATTCTCATAATTTATAGCATTATTATTTCATCTTTAGATGGTATCCCACTTTTGATATCCAGTTCCATTTCTAAATGCTGAATATCTCGAGGAGCCTCTGGGGCTGGTCTGTTTAGAAGTATTTCAAAATATTGAGCCGATATGTCTATTTGATCTTTAGTATTGGGGAATATACTTTTATATTGCCCTTTCTGTCATTATTTATAATATTTTGAAGCTGCAGGTTAAATTCCTCCTCAAATTTTGCATCTTTATAATTTGCTGGTGCATAACATTGTTCACATTTTGTTTCGCTGTTCTAAATGATGCTCTTATTATTCTAGGACTCACAACCTCATTTTGTGTTTTAGTGCCCTCTCTGTTTCTTTCGATAGCCACAGGGTCACTCCTTCACTGTGGGTAAAGTTGTAAGTCCTGAAAAAAAAAAAAAAGTTTTCCCCGAATTTAAAATAGTTTTCCCGCCCAGATCCATCTATTTTCACAAAATCCTATAACGCTAATTATATATTGCTTCATTTCCCTTAATACCCCTATTGGTTCTTTTACATAGTAAAAAGTTATAACATTCCAGGTGCTAATTCTGGTGATGGTTTAGATCAGTAGTTCTCATCCTGTCGGTCGTGATCCCTTTTGGGAGGGGGTGGGGGGGGGTGGAGTCGAACGACACTTTCACATGTGTCGCCTAAGACCATCGGAAACCACATAATTGTTAAAGTTATGAAGGAGAACAATTGTTTGGGGGTTGCCACAACATGAAAGAACTGTATCCAAGGGTCGCGGCATTAGGAAGCTTGAGAGCCACTGTTCTTGATGAAAGAAAGTTCATCAACAACTCGGACTCCTTTCGGCTTTCTTCGCAACTTGTCATACTTCATCTTCTAGAAGAGTTTCCTTCATTGGAATAACGCGGGCAAATTCTACCAAACGTTGAACTAATTAAACGGAATAATCATCAACATAAATTGTGACTAGAAAACTCTGCAGGCATGTAAAAGGTTATAGACAGCGAATGTGAACATGGAAATATAAATCCGTAATAGGAGAAAACAGTGACATGGTTACTGAGCAAAAGTCAAAAGAAATCGTCTAAAATATTATGATAAACTTTGCTATGAAATGAAAATGCAGCTTTTTATCAACTAGTTTAATTTTACAAAATTAGCAATGTTTGAGGCAATTTTTCTTTGTCAATTAAGACGGGAAAGAGAATTCGTAAAAGCTAAAACAATCTTAGCTTGATAAACGTAAGGGAATCATGGACAGATGGTAAATAATGAACACATTTTTTTTTGGGGGGGGGGGGGGGGAGAGCTGTAAAGATGTGGTTTTATAGACAAAGGATGCGAATACAATGATCAGCTTGAAAAAAAAAAGGAATAGTGGTAATTTCTCGAAAGAAACTGACTCACGAAGAGAGCTGATTTGCCACACCAGAAAGAGACAGTCTACATTCTTTGGTCATGTGAGAGAAGGAGAAAACTGGAATACATCATGACGGTAGGAAAGCTGAAGGGGAGGAGAGGCAGAGAAAGAACGAGAGAAGAGATGCTGGACAGTTTGATATCATGGCATGGAGGATCATCTGCATCAGAGTTGATTGAAAATACATGAGGCAGATGGTTGTGGATAGATATGACTACCAACGCCATACTGCATGGGCTTTCAGGAAACAAAAAAGTTTAATTGCATTTCTTCCAGTGATGTAGTTATTACATAGTTTCTTTTTCCTTTTTTGCAGATGGTCAGTCATCCGAGAGAAAGACCCGGTTGCCTTTGATAAAAGGCTAATGAAATTACCAAGGAATGACACAAGAATTTATGGATTCCTGCAGTCTTTTCTGTACTTCGCTGACGTGGTCGATGAAGTGAGAACAGAATTTACTTTCCATGATTCCGTAGCTAACGAGGCAGCCACAATCCTTCGCGACATATACATAAAATATAATGTATCAACGACTGTGGGAGTTCATGTACGGCGTGGGGATTTCTTATCCGACTATGGTCAATACTGGGGATACGGAGTTCCGAAGAAATCTTATTTCACCAAAGCTTTCAGCATCTTCAAGTCCAAATTTCCAGAAAGAAGAATTGTCTTTTTGGTTGCCAGCGATGATCTGCCTTGGTGTAGTAAACATTTGCACAGCAATGATGTCATCGTGTTGCCACCTGCGTCCGCAGCTGTTCATTTAGCCGTGTTAACAAGCTGTGATCATATGATTATATCCGGTGGTACTTTTGGATGGTGGAGTGGATGGCTGTCTAATGGATATGTCATTTATTTCTCTGGTTATATGGGCAACGGAACAAGACTGGGGAAAACCCTCACAATTTCCACGTACTATCCACTCCTTTGGGTGGGGCTTGGAAACTAGCAAATGCCTTTTCTAATTAAATTACTTAGTAGGTTTAATAGTAAAGGAAATACAAAGAAAAAAGTTATAGCACAAACTGGCAAGCCATCAGCAGATTTTGATAGGTTGAATAAAATCAGAAACTCTAAATTGTGTATTTTAAAACCAAGTTACGTACTATCAGTTCTAATGTTGTTTCAGTTTCAACATATGCAAGTGAAAGTTGGCAAACCATTCAATATGTAGGAGGAAATGTAAATGCATTTTTATTAAATGTCTGAGAAAAAAAAAAAGAAAATTAAAAGAGTTAAATTCACATGAAATTAATTAAGAAATGTTTGGACAGCCACTAGTATCAACAGTTATAAGACAGAGAAGATGATGCTACACTGGACACATCCTGAGAAGAAAAACCAGCAGGCAATCAACAAACAAGCGTTGAAATGGAAAATAATGGGATTACGGAGTTGGGGAATGCTCAAAAGAAACGATAAGACGAACATTGATGAGAGAGGTTAATGCTGCTCTAACAAATTCCATTCTGACTGCACATATAAGACTGAATGGAGGAATAGTTTGCCCGTCATATGTGACATATAACGGCACAGCGGGATAATAAATTAAATTACTAATTACCAGTATGTCATGATTATTTCTTTTTAACTGAGTATACCATATTAAATGTGTCTTTGTGCTTATTATTATTATCAGCTTTTTTTTCTAAACTTACCTTCCTATGTGCCTCTTGGTTTATCTTTTTTAAAATTATAAATACTAAACAGAGCCTTGCTAAACAAACAAACAAACCAAACTTCCATTTTCCGAAGCAATGCTCGGCGAGTCAGTTACAATACCATTATGCATGGCTGTACTACTTTCCCGCCATTAAAAGCCGACGTACTGCTTCGACCTCCATTCTCCTTCTAGATGTTGTGACGTTATTCGTGAGGTTTTCTTTCTTTTAAAAATTATGCATTCTCATTTGCAATGAAATGTCAGCCACTTTTTTTTTTAACCTCACTGCAAATTCATATGTAAATATAATGATACCAGATAGGGTCAGTTTGCACTGACAAGTTTTCTCACTAATGCTTCTGTTTTCCCAGCAATTAACTCTTTGAGTCTTAGACAACGCAGGGGATGTGCGTGTCGCCCAATTAGCTGAATCCCCTCCTTAGCGTGACATGCTCTCTTACGTTTCTTTTTGGTCGGAACACACTAAAAAAAAAAAAAACTATCTATTACTGTTAAATTACTACTTTGACAGTAATTCATTAAACGAAACTAACTTCTAGTATTGACAGTAATTCATTGAACGAAACCTTCTTCTGGTACTGAAAGAGTTAAATCGGGAAGGTTAACGCGGTCAACGAGATGCCTTTTTTTTGGCAATAATTATCAACAATATAATAATGATGTACCGGACTTTGACCCAGTACAATTTTCCTTTGCTTAACCTAATTGTTAGAATATCTCAATTATTACAGTTTCACTTTGTAATGTTTTGTGAGCGCTGTATTTGTTTGACCAACGATTCTAAAAATGTCCTTGTTTGAGCTGAGGAATGGGGATTGAGGAAGAGTGGGCAGTGAATCTACTGCACAAACTGCCTCCTTCTGATGGGCGGAGGGAGGGGAGGCGGTTGGGGGGGGGGGCGCCAACAGCTTAGTAAAGGATCACTACAGAGCAAATAATTGCCCATTATCAATGTATAGTTACATAATGTGTGTATGACATATATGTAGGCGTGTATGTGAGACATGCATATGTTTGTGAATGTTTAGGCGTTTTGGGGTATTAGTGATTATGTGTCTATGAGTGTGTGCATGGGTACTTATGTACGTTTGTCTGTTTATGTACGTATGGTTGTTTTTGTATGTTGGGGTTTTTGTGGATGTATGTGTGCGTCTATGTTTCTATATATGTGTTTGTGACTGTGAGTGTGTAAATGTGTGTGTCTGTCTGTGTATCTGCATATCTGTGTTTGGCGTGTTTGTCTGGGTGTGTGTCTTCGTGTGTGTCTGTGTGTGTGTGTGTCTATCTGTGCATGTCTGTTTGTGTCTGTATGAAAGTATGCCTGCATGAATGTACTTGTGTGTCTACGTGTTTGACTGTGTGTATGTCTGTGTGTGTGTGTGTGCTTGTCTGTGTGTGTGTCTGCGTGTATGTACCTGGATGCATGTTTGTATGTGTGTGAGTGTGTGATTGTATGTGTGTTTGCATGTGTGTGTGTGAATGAATGTGTGTATGTATGAGTATGTGTATGTATGTGTATGAATGAATGTATTAATGAATGTATGAATGAATGTATGAATGAATGTATTTATGTATGTAAGTATGTGTGTGTGTGAATGTGGGTGTATAAGTGTGTGCAAGTAAGTGAGTTAGTGTGTGTGCATGTGGGTGTGTGTGTCCCCGCTGGGGTGAGCGTTGGGATTTTACCACTCATAATTGTGTGTTTTTCTTTCTTTTCACATATGTATATTTATATATGTAGAAAAAACGCTTCATTGAATAAATACAGTTGATGTGTGAAAGATGCGTATTTGGAAGGGAAGAAAGTAAAACTTGCCTGTGTAAACAATTTGTGGCGTTTTGAAAATAAAGTTCGTTCGTTCGTTTGTTTCTTCTGCTTCTTCTTCTTCACTTTTTTTTTCCCAGTTACTTCATCGAAGTGTTGGAGTGGGGGTTGATATTTGAAATGCGTTGGCGTTGTGTCCGTCGGTATTCATTTTGTAAAGATGTTTGTGGAACCGGTGTTCCATCTTCTACGTTGCCTCTCTATTTCTCTGCGTCCATTATATTTCATCGGCAGGGCTGTCTGTAGCCTTTGGTACTGTGGCATTTGACTAAGATACCCAAACCATCTTATCTGTTGCTCTTTTATCAACTGTATGACTTGTTTGAGTCCTAGGCTTCTTTCAATTTCATTATTCGTTTCGATCTCTTCTTGTTGCTCGGGCAGCAACTCTAAGGCACTTCATCTCTGTTATCATTTAGCGCTCATTAGTTTTTGTAAGGGTCCACTGCGCTGATATTCTTCCGACTAAGACTTGAGTTAGAGTAAGTAAGTAAAGTTTAGCCGACCAGGACATCACACAGAGCGATAAACACTCGGTGACACAAAGTGTCATCATTCGGATGAGGATCATCCGTTCAGATGTCCCAGAAACCGTGTGCAAACGTTAGGCCATATTGCGGTCCCCGGCAAAAGCCAGGGTGGGGCTTCAAAATACGAAAAATTGCGTCCCACAAGGGTCGGTTACTTGTTTTATAAAGTATAACGAAGCATTTATGAGTTAATACGCTTGTGCCATGATGTTGATCGCTTGCTTGAAACTAAACCTAATAAGGTTCCTTGTCTGACACCGCCAGCATAAGGTTCGCCAATTGTTTTATTTTCTTTAGATTTGCCATGCTAGACAAAAGGTATACATCTATGTGTCGTTAGTAGCCTTAGTTTGTCGCAGGACAGCTGTTGATTGCTATGGTGAACTCTTTCTTCTAATATAAAATATGACATTTACTGACGACCAAACAGTTTTTTTTTTTTTTTTTTTTTTTTGAAAATATCTCATACACGGTCTGTTTATCTCTACAATCATCATCTTCATGTGCCCTGTCAACTCATGCGTCTCCACAGATCACGATCCCTGGTTGCCTGGAACTGCTCTCTTGATGATATCCCTCTATGCCATCGTTTCAGCCCACCCAGCATCATCTCTCTTAGTCTGCCTCTACCGCTTTTTCCACTGATCTTTTCAGTGTCATAGTGTTCTCCAGTATCTCTCTTCTCTTTATTTTGCAAAAGAATAGTGTTTGTCTCTTCTTATTGTTGTATATAGAGATCTACTTTCATCAGCTTTTTTCAAGCAATCGTTGTTAGTCACTCTGGCCGTCCAAGGTATTCATAACATTTGTCTCTGAAATGACATCTCTGTTGCTTCCAAATTTTTCTTAATTTGTTCACAATATCCACAATATGCTACTAATTCTAGACGTGGTCACTTTTTAGCAACCATGGAAGTTACATGTCGGAGAACGGCTGCAAGAGTGACCAGAAGAAATGCATTTAGGAATGAAGTCATCAGTGTTGAAGTCGGCATAGAACATATGCTCAACTTCATACTAAGACATGCACTAGTTTGCCCACTAAGAGAGACTGTATAGTTGTGTCACGCGTTACAAGGCATTTACCACCCAAAAAAAAAAAAACAGTGGGGCGCTAAGATCACTAGGTAGACCAAGTACAGTGGGGCGCGTAGATCACTAGGTAGACCAAGAACAGTGGGGCGCTAAGATCACTAGGTAGACCAAGTACACTTGGGCGCGTAGATGACTAGGTAGACCAAGAACAGTGGGGCGCGTAGATCACTAGGTAGACCAAGTACAGTGGGGTGCGTAGATCACTATGTAGACCAAGAACAGTGGGGCGCGTAGATCACTAGGTAGACCAAGAACAGTGGGGCGAGTAGATCACTAGGTAGACCAAGAACAGTGGGACGAGTAGATCACTAGGTAGACCAAGAACAAACTAAACGGAAACCATTAGAAAAACCCTACATGAGTACGATGTGTCAGTGCTTGAGACGACAAGACAAGCATCGTGTATCTTGCTCGGCACGCTACGCGGTGTAAGGGAGAGAGAAAAAGAAAGATAAAAAAAAAAAAAGACAGATAGAAAGAAAGATAAATAGAAAGAAAGACAGGCAGAAAGAAAGAAAGAAAGAAAGAAAGAAAGAAAGAAAGAAAGAAAGAAAGAAAGAAAGAAAGGAAGAAAGAAAGAAAGACAGACAGACAGACAGACAGACAGACAGACAGACAGACAGACAGACAGACAGACAGACAGACAGACAGACAGACAGACAGACAGACAGACAGACAGACATTGTGATCACAATCCTCAACATGTGCCCTTCCGGTAACCGTAGGCTGTCATGTTTCGACATCTAACACGATCACCATGATCATGGATTAGTTCTTTGTTTTTTTTTTTTTTTTGGTTCCTTCCATCTGGTTAG